GTAGATGTTGTGGTGAAAAAGCAGTTCTGGCGCAAAAGATCATAAAATTTGAATAAGAATAAAACAAGTTTCTCCAGTTTGAGATCATTATGCCTGAATTGTGTTCTTGGTTTTTTTTTTATTTTATTTTTTTTCTAGTTTTTAAATAAGGAGCAACCAACAGAACTTGAGCATTTTGATCTAGATTATTATTTTTGTTCTTGTTACTTTTTTTTTATTATTATTGCAAAGTATATTGCAATATATCCTGCATATTTAAATGTTTTATTTGCATGTAAATATGATACAGTTAACATACCAATAAACCGTAGCCAATTGTCTAATAACTACAGGGAAGAATTATCAAGATTTTGTTCTGAGCAGTGGTGGAAAGATGTAAAAGGAAATTGCCTTAGTTTTAATACTTTGCACCATTTTTGCAGAGCAAAACTTTTTGCTAAATATTCCTTAAAGGACCACTCTAGGCACCCAGACCACTTCAGCTTAATGAAGTGGTCTGGGTGCCAGGTCCAGCTAGGGTTAACCCGTTTTTTTTATAAACATAGCAGTTTCAGAGAAAGCGTCCATAGGAAAGCATTATGAATGCTTTCCTATGAGACAGGCTGAATGCCTGCGCAGCTCCTGCCGCGCATGCGCATTCAGCCGAAGAGGAGGAGGAGAGCTCCACGCCCGGCGCTGGAAAAAAAGTAAGATTTAACCCTTTCTTCGCCATCCAGCCCGGCGGGAGGGGTACCCTGTGGGTGGGGGCACCCTCAGGGCACTATAGTGCCAGGAAAACGAGTATGTTTTCCTGGCACTATAGTGGTCCTTTAATGTGAGGCTTATTTATAAACTCTAAATTAAGTTGTGAAAGTGAGCAATCTGTCTAAATATTCTGTTAATTTCTTTGTTTATTGCTCTACTTTCAGAACTTTGCTATATTTACCCATTACTTGCTTTCAAAAGAATGTATTAAAAACACACATATTTCCGAAACTGTTAGATTCAGTGATGATTTTTTTTTTTTTTTTATTTATTTTATTTTAATAACATCCAAGAAATATGAGGCTGTTTTTTGTTTTTTTTTTATAAAGGGATACACATCTGTATTCCTTACACTCTAGTTCCCTCTGGGCATGGAATGAGTTAGAAACCTTTTTACACTTACCCAATCGGGAGATCGGTGCTCTGCCTCCTCAGTTATTCAAAAAGGGTCGGGGGACTGATGCGCATGTGCCGCAAGCACATTAGACCATCCCCACAGGAAACCATTGCTTCAAGGCTTTCCTATGGGTATGTAACTGGCGCTGGGTGTCTTCATGCAGACCAAATGTTGCTTAACCACGAAAGTGCCTCAAGTGGCTGTCTGACCGCAACTAGAGGGAGTCTTAGTCCTGTAATACAAAAACTGCAATGCTTACACTGCAGGAATAAGGGTGATTGGGACACTCCACCAAGTCCACTTCAGTGAGATGTAGTGATCTGGGTGCCTATAGTGTTCCTTTAATGGACAGGTATATCACTCAAACCTGACCTTATCATATGAGGATGATTACCCTCTCTTACAAACTGTGGTTTCATAGACACTAGTCTATTTACAATCCTGGCTATGTAAATTGCGTGAGAGAATACCCCAAAGCTGTATTCCTGGCACTACCGCACCGACCACCGTCCCCCTTTTCCCAGCGCCGATGTCCCCTGGCGCTGGGGCAACGCTCCACCCCCTACTCTGTCCCGTGACAAGTGTGGTCTAATGTATATGTATCCTGTACTATTTCAAATCATAGGAAACAGAATTTATGATGGATTACAGTGGATCTGAAGACGCAGATGAAAACAGGGCTGGCTCTATAAACTCTGGTAAGGAAAATCAAGACTATCCCCCAAAGAAACTTTCATGATGTCATTACATAAAATATCATGATATGTATGCAGTATTATAATATACACAATACACAGTGTGATCGTTAATCATCCATATACTAAATCTTTTAAAGCTAACTAAAAATAACTTTCTAATGATAAATATGAGAATATTTTTTGTACAACTTGAGGAAGCAGTGTATATTCTAGGATATTAACTGTGAAAAGGTGTTTTTTTTGTTTTTGTTTTTTTTCTTATACTTTAAGATGGCCCTGCATCATCTTCTCATTAACCCCATGACGCTTTTAAGGCGTTCTATGCTGTTCCACATTTAAAGGTCTTTAAAGCCATTGCGGCAGTATAAAACGCTGTAACGGCTTTGAGCTTCCGGGATACTTCCCAACACTCCGCCTCTGCTGTGAAATAGGGGAAAAAAAATATTTTTAATGCTCACATATATTAATATAAAAATACACTTCGAATGAAAGTGTACATACATAATTATGTGATTTTATTATTTATAATGTGAGGGACCTGCCTGACAATCCAGGCAGAAAGTTCAGAAAGTTCAACTTGCAAGCCCTATATTTAACCCTGTAATGTTCCAGAACACCTTAAAACCTGTACATTTGAGGGGCTACTGTTTTACTAGTCAGACTTCACTGCACATAAATGTTTTAAATCAGTTAAGATGATATCAGTGAAAGTGCAGTTTTGGTTTAAAGAAAATGCAAAAAAAATATGAATGCTAACTGTGGCTACTAAGAAAGACTGGACATACCCTATTTTGAATACCCTGGGTTGTCTTCTTTTCCAAATGGTATGCCATGGTGAGGGTAATTTTCATTCCTGCACTGCCATGCACTCTCAAAGGCAACATAGCCAAGCTGGCAAATTTCAATGTGTAAAAACTATAAAACCTGTATGTGAGAGGGGGGCAGGGGGGTACTGTTGTACCCATGAGACATCACTGAACACAAATATGTGTATTTTCTTGCAGTAAAAGCTAACCGTATTATATAAACAGTTAGTATTACATAAACAGCCACGCGTGACTAAATAAAAAGTGAGAAATTAAGAAAAAAATTTTGGTTCTTAAGTTTTTATTCCTATTAAATTGTTTCATATCAAAATATTTGATGTGTAATTAAAGCCATGTTTCCTGAACAAAATGATATATAAGTGTTAACGTGAAACAATGTGAATTCTGGTTGAGCAGACATATAGTCTACTTCTAGGGTTTGTTTTGAATTTGCATACCATTTGCAAAAGTAGACAACTCAAAGTATTCAAAATGGGGTATGTCAAGTCATTTATTTATTTTTTTAATAGCCACTTAGTCACAAAACTTGATCAAAGTTAGTGTTCATATTAGTTTTTTGCATATTGCACACACAAACTGCCCTTTTACTGATGATATCATCATCATTATACATATTACTGTTTTAAAACACTCATATTTGTGTTCAGCAAAGTCTCCCAAGTACAACAGTACCCCCCATGTTCTGGTTTTACAGTGTCTTGGAAAGGTAAAAGGCTAAATATGAGGCTTGCAAATTATATGTTCTGGACTTTCTTCCTTGGGTGTCCAACAGGTCACTCAGATTGTAATAATTTCTAGCATCTTTACTTGTCTATTATATTTAACACGTATATGTTTAAGTGAAGAATCCCACACCACTGTATTTGCCTCTATCGTGATGCTGAGCACCTTAACTTCCTCTTAATCACTGTTGTACACTGTTGTGCACTGTGCCCTTTGTGCCTGTCAGTCAGTAAAGTGAAAGCAGAGGGGCAGAGGAGGAGAAATGAACAACACATATCTGTTCTGAAAAGATAAACATGGAAAAGGGTTGGGGTCACAAATGCCGTGCGTCTACTGATTTCTATGGTAACTGCCCCACTTTTCAGGATACAACATATTTATACATGGCTCCCAAAGCTTCTGTTTTGATTTTGTTTGTCTATTGTGTGGTCCCAGGCTTATCTGGGGACTGAATTTGACTATGATGTCAATTGCTAAATTTGTAATGTCCATTTAAAAGAAAACCAAGCATCACATAAATTTTTTGTTTAAAATAAGCATGACTATGATTTTGTTTTGCTATGAAATAGTGTTTATATTTACTACTTGAATTGTATTTGTCTATTTGAAGGGCACACAAGAAAAAGACGAAAAACATGCAGATCCTCCTGTTGCAAGATTGAAACCATGCTAAAGGAAATGCACAAAGACAACACATCCTTGACAAGGCGTGTTTTAACTTTGGAACAACAGTCTTTTGAGAAACTTTCAGAGATTTCAGCAGTGCTGTCTAATTTAGCCAGCTTCATCATGCACTCTAATAAGCTGCCAAAAAATGTGGTTCTGCCTTCTATGACTGTAGATGGAAAGAGAATGCAACATGAGGAAACCCAAACCCAGAGGTCCAAATTTCAAGTCAAAAAGCAAAATGAATCTTAGCCCAGATGGTTATTTTTGCTATTAGACCTCCTTCGCTATAAATATTTCCTCCTTTGTTAGAAGTGTGGAATTTATAGCATTATTTTAGATGTTTTAATTTTTTGGATTATCTTATCTTGTTGAGAGTTCCTTTTTAATAACTGCAACAGTATTCCTAGCCTAGCAGTTGGAGTAAGCTAGGTGTTTTAGTTGAATGAATGAGTAAATCCATTTATATGTTATAAGGGATGGACAAAAATAAAAAAACACTGGATATGTTGATCATAATAATATCAATACAGCATTGTTTGCTTTAAAACATTGTGAGTTAACACTTTTATTGTGCAGATTTTTTTCTTCGTCTTCTTCCTAATGGTACATAACTAATCACATCCTCCAGGTCAGCACAAATCTTAATTACAGCAAATGAGTCTTTGTTTTATAGTTCCTATTTTTAACAATAATTATAAAAGGACCACAAAAGTAGTCTAGACCACTTCATCTTAATAAAGTGGTCCTGTCATTTTAATGTAAAACATTGCCATTTTGTAAAAACAGGAGTGTTTACACTGTAAGGTTAAATATACACCTCTAGTTGCTATCTTCCTAACAGCCACTAAGGCCGCTTCCGCCTCTACAACAAAGTCACACTCTGTTCTGCAAAGGAGTGTGCAGCATTTGGTTGCACATGTTTATCTTGATTGGCCTAGATTACAGATTGTCAGCAGGCATGCTGTTGGAGGCAGAGCAAGAGGCTTCAGCAGAGTCTGAATGCTAGAAATTAAGTGAGTAAATTTTATTTAGCTATTTTACTAGAAAAGGTGAGTGGACAGTGGTCACAGTGATCGAAGGATACCTATAGTACCCCAAAAACTATTATTTTTTTTGGTACTATAGGTTCCCTTAAAGTGTCTTTGTTGGTAAAATTACCTGTAACAAAGTAATCCTTGGCATTCAATACACATACTAATTTTTTATTTTTTTACGGGAGAGGGGGGAGAGTAGTGATAGGCTGCGAGCATTTGCTGAAACTAACAACCCATCACTGGTGCTCTAGCAAATGCTACCACATTTGCCAAGCTGTTCTAGAGAGGACATCAGACTGTCACCTGGAGGACTCCATTTCAGTGTTGACCCTGCCTGTTCTCTTCATGCATGTAGAACTCTTATTTAGCCTCGGGTGTCTTCCCTGCACACAAACAACCCTCTTTTCTTCTTTAGCCATATACACTGATCAGCCACAACATAATAACCTCCTGCCTTATATTGTGTAGGTCCTCGTCGTGCTGCCAAAACAACTCTCCCTGAAGGGGCGTATGTGGTCTGCAACAATCTCTAGGTATGTGGTACTTGACAAAGTAACATCCACATGAATGCCAGGACCCAAGAATTCCCTGAAAAACATTGCCAAGAGGTTACTGCCTTCTTCCCATAGTGCTTCCTGCTGCTCTCTCTTCCCCAGGTAAATGGCGCACATCACCTGGCGTGACCTAAAAGAAAGTGATTCATCAGACCAGGCAACCTTCTTCTATTGCTCCGTGGGCTAGTTCTGACTCTCATATCCACATTGAAGGTTCTTTCAGGGGTGCAATGCACTGTGTGCTCTGACCCTTTCTATCATGGACAGTATGAAAGGGAAACAGTAGGCACCCAGATCACTTCATCTAATTGAAGTATTCTGGATAAGGTGACCCTTTTGCACCTAGTGCTGCATTGTAAAATATTGCAGTTTAAGAGAATTGCAATGTTTACATTGCAGCACAAAGTCTGCCCTCCGTGGCTGTCTACAAGACAGGGGGCACTTATGGAATCTAAACAGACTTTTGGTCCGTTATCTGACGCTGGACGTTCTCATGGGCCTCCAGCGTCAGATTTTCCCCATAGGAAAGCATTGAATAATGCTTTCCTGTTGGGAGGTCTAACGCGCACGCGGCCATGTGCATAAGGTCTCAGCGGCAGGGGAGGAGTGTGGGCAGAGCATGACCGAGCGCCCAGATTCAGATGGTGCTGGATTCAGGTAAGTGGCTGAAGGGGCCCTGCGCGAGAGGGCGGGGACCTATTAAACCTATAGTGCAAGGAAAACCAGTTTGTTTTCCTGCCACTATAGGATCCCTTTAAGCTTTTCTGCAAATTGATCTACAGTAGCTCTTCTGTATGATCGAGAGAGCCTTTGCGCCCCACGTGCATCATTTATTTAAAAGCGCTGTTGATCAAGTGGGTGCAATATAAATGTCATTAATAAGTGTGTGGGTAGGTGACAATGGTGTCAATATTCCCACTGGAATGGCTAGACAGTGTCAGTGACTGATCTGTTATCATTCTTTGGCAACTTTATCTATCCTGGCGGACCATCCCGCCCCATGTGTTGTGAGAATTTCACATTTAAGGTATAAAATGAACTTTCTACTTTTTTTACCTGTACATGGATGTTACCTGTGATATATACTTATTTTTGTTATTTTATTAATCAGGCCCTTATCCTTTGTCTTTTTATTTAAGTATTTAAGCTTCCTTAACATGCTTTATTATTCCATGACCACTTCATATTAAAGGGACATGCATCATTAGGAGTCAACTGTCCATTCAAAAGGGATTTTTGTTTTGATTTTCTGCAGGTTTTAAAGAAGAAAAAAAAATTGTATTTTTTTTTTTTTTTAATATATTGTACTGCTTCTTATTTCTTATGCTTTCCAACCTCTCTACATACGGGGATACTTTCTAATAAACTGGTGTCCTATTCATATAATTGCTGGAAAAGTGCATTGGGCATTCCTACCATGATTTACACATGTGCAGTTGGAAGATCACTTCTCTTGCACCTGTTTTTGTCAATAGTGGTTTCAAAAGGAGATTGGTGGGTAAGCGGAATGATGTTGGTGGTAGGCAGAAGAAATTTCTGTTGAGATGCATTTTCAACAGTACATTCTGATAAGTTTGTAGTAAACCTTTATAAACTTGGTCAACATTTTTCTTGCTTTATTTTGGTTTGTATATTTGTTTAAAAGTATTTGCCAGTTTAAAAAATTGTCAAGTGGTGCATGTCCGTTTTAATGAAATCATCTGGGTGCAAGGGGCCCTGTCTGTTTAGTTTTTTCGATGTAAAACCTTGCCATTTTGTAAATAGAGCAATGTTTTTGTTGCATGGTTAAACTTACCTCTAGTGGCTGTCTTCTTGCAACGACCAAGTCAGACTCTGTTTGTGATGTATCTGTGAGGACTGCTACCATCCTTAAATACTGATCCTGATCACAGGTATCACCTATTGGATTCAAGCATGTAATTGGGCGTGCATGGTGCTTGCTTGTATGTGCTTTTAATCTCCTATGTTTCTCTATAAAAAAACAAAGGTTAGACAAGAGTGTTGGGGCAGGCACATGCATTGTAATATATATATTTTATTTTTTTTATCTTTTTTTGGCACTGTCACTTTCTCACCCCTGAAAAATGAGTATTTCACAAAGATAAAATCTTTCATTGAAATTCCTTCAAAAGTTAGAGTGAGACAAAGTAGGAACTGCTTTGTCGTCACATTTTTCCTATGCCTGACACTAGTAGACACTAGGTGGAGTTACCACTGTCTAGAAGTGTCAATCCCCCAGCCATCACCAGTGACAGCTGCCGGGACTTGGCTCTATGTGTTGAGGATTCCGCGGGATCTGCTGTAGACCTCAGTGCTGTACTCTAATGCATGCTGAAGTGCCACAAGAAGAAGATACCTTCAAAGGATAGGCTAATTTAAACTCACCTTTTCGTTGGAGTTTCCACCTAAATTATGCAAACTCCACAGACTGTGCCGTTTTAAATTTCATACAGGGCGTAAATAAAATGCATTACAAAATTAACCTGTGGGATAATTCCTTTTAAAAGAGGAAACAGCATAGTGGGTTTCATGGATCAATGCAACAGATATCTTATGGGTGTGAGAGCAGCATAACGTTCTCTATACCAGTGGACCCTAACCCAGCCCTCAAGGACCACCAATAGTCCAGGTTTTGTCAGTATCTCCATTTGAATTAAAAAAATGGAAATACATAAATATTGGACTGTTAGTGGTCCATGAAGACTGGGTTAGGGGCCACTGCTCTATACACTAAACCTTGATAGATTACACACACTGGGTTTCATTGGTGAATACATGAGCAATAATCTCGGGCGTTGGGAAAGTACTTACCGTATATACTCGTGTATAAGTCAAGTGCAGTTTTGTGACCAACAATTGTGAAGTGTGCTATACCTCGTGGTAAGTCGAGGGTAAAACTTGGGGCTATGAAATTCTGTGATTTTTTTTTTTTTTTTATAAATTTGTCAGATTTTTACCTAGGTAAGATCCTGCAACATAATCCTATAAATAATGCAGAGTGTTTGTGTGTGCGTATATAATGCAGAGCACACACACTGTGTGTGTGTATATAATGCAGAGTAATTTAATTTTTTTTTATTATATTAATATTTATTTTTGTCCCCCCTCCCTGTTACCTGGTCAGGGAGGGGGGCTATCTTAAACCCTGGTGGTCCAGTGGCACAGGCTGTGCAGAGGGGATGCCGGCAGCAAGCTGTTACATACCTTTATAGCAGCTCCCAGTGTAAATCTTGCGGTCTGCGTGCTGCGCAGAGCGTTGCCACGGGTCTTGTGAGACTTACACTGGGAGTTGCACAGAGGTGAAGGGAGCTGACCAGTGCTGCTACAAAGGTAAGTAAGAGCTCGCAGCCAGCCCCCAACAGGACCGCCGGGCTTGTAATGAGCCTGGCGGTCCTGGTCTGTATTATGGCAATGTAAGTTGCCATAATACAGACATTGACTCGAGTATAAGTCGAGTGGGGCTTTTTCAGCACAAAAAAATGTAGTAGAATTGATAGAGATATATTTCAATCAAGACATGTATAGTCGGCAGGGAGGGGAAGAAAGGCAGTATAAATAACAAAAGGCAGCAGCAGGTATTCACATTTATAGGGACATATTTTGTTCTACCACCAGCCAGAGACCATAGAGCCTCTAAAAACTTGTGCATGGGCAAGCCTATGGAGAAATATATGACAAAGGAGGAATGTGCCCTGGCATCAGCATATCCTAAAATCTAGTGTGGTAGGTAGGTTTGAGGCACCTGTCAAAAAGACATTGAAATGAAAGGGAAGAAATATTGGGAAAAATAAAAGGAGGAAAATTATGGGGAAAAGAGCTGAAGATAAATGATATCAAAAAATATGTTTACGAGGGGCGGGGCCTAACCGCAGAGCTGTGCAGACGCTCATCTCAGCAGCTCCTACTAAACCGGGCACTTAACGCTAAAATGAATTGCCATACAGGCACTTAATCGTGACCCTAAAGCTACCACTCGAGAGAGGACACCGAGGTGCAGAGATCGGTACCTCTCAAGCAACGAACCGAGCACAGCACACAATGAGGCCTACAAGCGTGGCAGGCGCAGAGGAGGCAGCCGATCCCCAGCAGCAAGGCCACGCCAGAAAGCTCACTGCAAGCCCTCATTCCCCCCCCTCCCCCTGGACCGGTGTGGGTCATCCTGGTCCACCCCCAAACGACTCCTGGACGAAGCAATGGGCCAATACAGGCTCCGTGGAGCCCAAAAGCTACCGTCCCTGCGACCACCAAGATGGCGGAAGCCTCTCACATCGCCAACACGTCTAACACATGGCGGGAAACTGAGATGCGATTAAACAGTATATTCACTGCTTTCTGGGAGTCCCTAGAAGCCCACATGAGGGGCTCAGAGCCTGAAGAGATCCCCCAAAAACAGCAGCGCAACCCCAACAGGAGACGCAGCAAAAGGGTGACACTAACCCGAACCGGCAGGGGCAGACGCAGGACGCACAACCCAAAAAAGCGGATGCTGGAAGGCGGTGGGTGGTCAAACACCGGCATCTCCCAGGCAAGGCGGGTATGCGGAGGGAACCGTCGAAGACAAGCACAAGACCACCCCAAACAAGGCAGGTGAAGCTACACTCAGCACCCACAGCAACTCAGAACAGCCCAGGGGATCTCAGCACCCACACGCCAAGGAGATCGCACCAGCTGCACCACCTCCAGCAGGGGGTACCCACCCAGCCCCGTCAAGGCATCGGCTGACCCCAAAGGGACTGAGACTCTAACCCAGATAGTATCATCAGACACATAACTCTCTTTGCCCCACTGGAACTCACACGAATGTCTGATGACATATATCACTTATTTCGTTTTCTTACTATGTTCGGTTTTGCTCCTTAAAAATCCCATCACTCGCAGCCAAAATGGAGGTCTGCATATTAAGCTAAGATGCTAATGTAGCTAGGGGTTTTACTTTTAACTTTTACTTTTCAAGTCAGTGTTTTCACCTCATGCTCCACACAGTTAACCCTCTAGCACTGTATTTATCTAGTTTGTATACTTTTCATAAAATGCGCAGATTAAGCTAACAAGTTCAACTGCAATTTGTAATCAACAGTAGTCAATGCTTTGTTTGAGCATCTATATTCAAAAAATGTGCACTACTTTAAATGCCATAATTCTAAAATCAATGTGTTATGACCACGCTTACGTATGTTATTGTGGCAGAGTAAGCTGCTATGTTAACTCTTGCACATAAAAAAATAAATAAATATATGTTTACAAGTGGGAATAAGAATAGAGCATGCAGGATTACATTATTCAAGTTGTTAAAAGAATAAGCAAAATAACAACTACTCTGTACTGGACTGGTTTTGGGGCCAGCAGTGCCCAGATTCTCTTCTATAGCAGGGCAGTGCCAGTCTTTGACTGATCACTCTCAGGCAATGAGTTTAAGCCCTTTACTGGAGGCAGGGAGTGGCACTTAGCAAACCACAGGTAAGTAATTAAATCAGTCTTAAAACAGTTTGACAACTTACATCGAGGAAGCATGGATAATAAAAGTAAATAGACACAATTCTTCCAGATGGTTACAATTATAGTGCATAAAGCGCTATGGAATCTGTTGGCGCTATATAAATGGCAATAATAATAATAATAAAAAAATTACCAGATTTCCCTATTTACATGATGTAAAGTCATGATTTTAATAAGGACACGGGGCGAATATTATGCTTTATCTCTTTCTTTATTCCTCAGCAGCAAAGAAAGAAAATACCCTCAGAGGGTTAACCAAAACATCATATGCTATGAGAGCAGTCCACATTCCATATACTCCTATGTGACCCTAAGCCACTCCTCTTTCTTGGTGATGCCAATAGTTAACGAGAAGAACCAGAAACAAAATGACTGACTCAACACAACCAGACAGTTGAACAGTTGTTGTCTGTGAGGCAACATCTTTCGAGGGAATGGATTAACCCCTTCCTCCTCCTTCAGCGCCACGGGAGTGGGATCCTGAGGGTTTGTTTTCCTGGCACTATAGTGGTCCTTTAAGGACATGGAGGCTCATATTATGCTAGTTCTAAGCTGTGAAATAACAGTAGAGGAGACATGTTCTTTAGGACGAAAATAATATTCCTTAAATGTTGATTCACAAGACCAATCCAACATCCGAAGAAGGTCTTCCAGTTTACAGCCCAGGTTGAAAGCTTTTGAAGCCATGGCCCCTCTAGTAGAATGTGCGCCATAGATGGATTAATCTATGTTAGCTAAAGACATTATCCATTTTACGCAGCGGGCTAATGTCACCGTAGATACAGGGTGATGTGGTAGGCTAAGAGCCAAGAACAACTAGTTAGACGTTGGATCCCTGAGTCTGTTCCATATTCCTGGTGACAGGCCACTGGGTAAAGTTTAACATTGTGATGAGATGAGGGATAGTAAACCGAAGTAATCAATGATTTTGTATGTCCAGAAATATTGAAAGAAACACCTGTAGAAGTAAAGGAACGTGTGTCAATGTCAAGTGCTCAGACGTCTGAAACATGTTTGCATGAAATCAAACAGAGAAGCATGGGCAATTTTGCAAACTAGTTCAAAACCCATAATGAAGTGTGTCGAGGTGGTCATGCAAATCTAATGCCCCGTAGGAGTCAGCAAACCAACAGGTGTTTACCAGCCGGAGAACATAGAACGTGATGGCAGATAAGAACCATTCGGCCCATCTAGTCTGCCTAATTTTCCAAATACTTTCATTAGTCCCTGGCCTTATCTTATAGTTAGGATAGCCTTATGCCTATCCCACGCATGCTTAAACTCCTTTACTGTGTTAACCTCTACCACTTCAGTTGGAAGGCTATTCCATGCATCCAGTACCCTCTCAGTAAAGTAATACTTCCTGATATTATTTTTAAACCTTTGTCCCTCTAATTTAAGACTGTGTCCTCTTGTTGCGGTAGTTTTTTTTCTTTTAAATATACTCTCCTCCTTTACTGTGTTGATTCCCTTTATGTATTTAAATGTTTCTATCATATACCCCCCTGTCTCTTCTTTCCTCCAAGCTATACATGTTAAGTTCCTTTAACCTTTCCTGGTAAGTTTTATCCCGCAATCCATGAACCAGTTCAGTAGCCCTTCTCTGAACCCTCTCTAAGGTATCAATATCCTTCTGAAGATACGGTCTCCAGTACTGTGTACAATACTCCAAGTGAGGTCTCACCAGTGTTCTGTACAATGGCATGAGTACTTCCCTCTTTCTACTGCTAATACCCCTCCCTATACAACCAAGCATTCTGCTCGCATTTCCTACTGCTCTATTACATTGTCTGCCTACCTTTAAGTCATCAGAAATAATCACCCCTAAATCCCTTTCTTCAGATGTTGAGGTTATGACTCTATCAAATATTCTGTACTCTAGCCTTGGGTTTTTATGTCCAAGATGCATTATCTTGCACTTATCCACATTAAATGTCAGTTGCCACAATTCTGACCATTTTTCTAGTTTACCTAAATCATCTGCCATTTTGCCTCCTGGAACATCAACCCTGTTACATATCTTAGTATCATCAGCAAAAAGACATACCTTACCATCAAGACCTTCTGCAATATCACTAATAAAAATATTAAAGAGAATGGGTCCAAGTACAGATGCCTGAGGTACCCCACACGTGAGTCCAAGCTTCGAATATACAGTTGCAAGAAAAAGTATGTGAACCCTTTGGAATGATATGGATTTCTGCACAAATTAGTCATAAAATGTGATCATCATCTAAGTCACAACAATAGACAATCACAGTCTGCTTAAACTAATAACACACAAAGAATGAAATGTCTTTATCACAGACATTAAAAGAATGGACTAATATAAAGAAGAAGTTGAATATTAATAGAAAACTATTTGAGAGCCTTAGTCTAAGGTCGTTAGAATGTTTTATGCTAGAGATAAACCTGACGAATTGGTTCAAAGATCCTAATCATAAGATAAAAGATCTTTATAATGATCACCAACTGAAAAGTTTTGAAGTTTTGAAAAACTGGCTAGATTTACCTTCTAGAGAATTATTTAATTTTATTCGTATTAAGAGCTACTTGAAAGATAACATACTGGCTTTAGACGGCCGTTTTGGAAAATTGTTTTAGAAAATCTTTTCAGCCTTAACCAAATGGGAAACTGATTTAGCAATTTCAATTCCATTTAATAGTTGGTGTAAATCCTTTATGAGGACTAAAAAAACCATTCATTGCCTGAATATTCTAGAGACTTTTACTAAAATATTGTACAGATGGTACTTGGTACCGTCTAGACTTGCTAAAATTTCCATTACTAATCCATCTAATTGTTGGCGGTGTCAACACCCAGATGGCTCTATGTTTCATATATGGTGGACCTGCCATCGAATTAAGTCTCTCTGGATTACTACATTTCAATTTATAAATAGAATTGGAGGTATACATTTGGAATTTAAACCGGAAGTCGCCCTACTTCATCTTATGGGCTTAGAAATAAAGGATAATAGTGATATTGTGATTATACACTGTTTAATGGCTACCAAAATATTAATTGCTAGATTTTGGAAAAATACTGATATTCCTACTAGAGATCAAGTTAAAGCCCAACTCCTATTCCAAGTCGAGATGGAAAAGAGGTTAATGTATATGTGAGAATATCCTAATTTTTATATTTTGACGTTTTATTCCAGTATTGTTGAAAAAATTATTGGGCTTTAAATGAGCTGGAAGAGCTGGGGTTACTGCATACGTTCACCTTATGGCAAATTTGATGATCTCATAATGGGCTCTATTATCGGGCCCTTTGCCCACATACTGATATTACTTAATAGGTATTGGATCTGCAATATATCTGACCAGTTTTGTCTTTGTTTTTGTCTGTCTTATTCATAAGGTTTTTAAGGCCGTTTGTGGACCATGATATCCCCTTCAGGGGATTTTAATGTTAGTATACTATTGTGTATTTGACAGCTTATTTCTGACGTAATTTGAAATAGAATAATATACCTTTGTATGCTTAATGGGGATAGGAGTCCTTATTTTTTCTGTAAGGTTCCTTCCCCTAGATGTTGTTATGTCTATCAATGCTTTCATAAAAAAATAAATAAAAAAAAAACCTAATAAAAAGAAACAAATGAAAAAAAAAAATTGAGATGACAAATGTAAAGAAAAACTGACAATTCAACAGTGAAGTCAGGAAGTTTAATAAGTAAAAGGCAATAAAATAAATAAATATCATTGTTCAGTTAAAAAAAAAGAAAAAAAGAAATGTTGCCATGTTTTTATTGAACACACCATGTAAACATTCACAGTGCAGGTGGAACAAGTATATGAACCCCTAGACTAATGACATCTCCAAGAGCTAATTGGAGTAAGATGTCAGCCAACTGGAGTCCAATCAATGAGATGAGATTGGAGGTGTTGGTTACAGCTGCCCTGCCCTCTAAAAACACACACCAGTTCTGGGTTTGCTTTTCACAAGAAGCATTGCCTGATGTGAATGATGCTTCGCACAAAAGAGCTCTCAGAAGACCTACAATTAAGAATTATTGACTTGCATAAAGCTGGAAAGTGTTATAAAAGTATCTCCAAAAGCCTTGCTGTTCATCAGTCCACGGTAAGACAAATTGTCTATAGATGGAGAAAGTTCAGCACTGCTGCTACTCTCCCTAGGAGTGGCCGTCCTGTAAAGATGACTGCAAGAGCACAGCGCAGACTGCTCAATGAGGTGAAGAAGAATCCTAGTGTCGCCTAAAGACTTACAAAAGTCACTGGCATATGCTAACATCCCTGTTAGCGAATCTACAATACGTAAAACACTAAACAATCATGGGAGGATACCACAGAGGAAGCCATTGCTGTCCAAACAAAACATTGCTGCATGTTTACAGTTTGCACAGGAGCACCTGGATGTTCCACAGCAGTACTGGCAAAATATTCTGTGGACAGATGAAACCAAAGTTGAGTTGTTTGGAAGAAACACACAACACTGTGTGGCGAAAAAAATGCACAGCACACCAACATCAAAACCTCATCCCAACTGTGAAGTATGGTGGTGAGGGCATCATGGTTTGGGGCTGCTTTGCTGCGTCAGGGCCTGGACGGATTGCTATCATCGAAGGAAAAATTAATTCCCAAGTTTATCAAGACATTTTGCAGGAGAACTTAAGGCCATCTGTCTACCAGCTGAAGCTCAACAGAAGATGGGTGTTGCAACAGGACAATGACCCAAAGCATAGAAGTAAATCAACAACAGAATGGCTTAAACAGAAGAAAAAACGCCTTCTGAAGTTGCCCAGTCAGAGTCCTGACTTCAACCCGATCGAGATGCTTTGGCATGACCTCAAGAAAGCGATTCACACCAGACATCCCAAGAATATTGCTGAACTGAAACAGTTCTGTAAAGAGGAATGGTCAAGAATTACTCCTGACCGTTGTGCACGTCTGATCTGCAACTACAGGAAAGGTTTGGTTGAAGTTATTGCTGCCAAAGGAGGTTCAACCATTATTAAATCCAAGGGTTCACATACTTTTTCCACCTGCACTGTGAATGTTTACATGGTGTGTTCAATAAAAACATGGCAACATTTTATTCTTTGTGTGTTATTAGTTTAAGCAGACTGTGATTGTCTATTGTTGTGACTTAGATGATGATCAGATCACATTTTATGACCAATTTGTGCAGAAATCCATATCATTCCAAAGGGTTCACATACTTTTTCTTGCAACTGTATTCCATTGACTACAACCTGCTGTTGCCTGTCACTCAGCCATTGCCTTACCCATTCAACAATATTGGAATCCAAACTTAAAGATTGCAGTTTATTGATAAGCCTTCTATGTGCAACAGTGTCAAAAGCCTTCCTGAAATCTAGGTAAGCAATGTCTACTGTACCACCCTGATCTATAATTTTAGCTACCCAATCAAAAAAAATCAATAAGTGAGGGTAGGTGGGGCCCTAAATAAAAATGTAACCCCCCCCCCCCAGGTGACTAGGTGTTCCCAAACCCCTAGTCACCCCCCTCCCAAAAAAATTAACCCCTACCTACCCCCCTCACCCTAAAAATAATGAGGGTGGACCATTAACTTGGTACCTGTAAAAAAAAAAAACTTACCATTTGATGTCTTTTTTCTAAAATCTTATTTTTTCAGCCCCAAAAAAGGCCAAATAAAAATCCATAATAACGTCGCACTTTGAAAAAAAAAAAACTCAAGCGCAAAAAAGTAATCCATGTTCACCCATGGAGGGCACCGCTCAGACTGAGCTGCAATTAGGCTCAGAGCACTCTGGTTGGTTGGTTTAAGCCATCCAATCAGAGTGCTCTGACAGGTAAATGAAAAGACTGACAGGTTAGTCTCTACATCTACTTGTCATAGCACTCTGATTGGTTAGCTTGCAATCCAGCCATTCAGAGTGTTCTGTGTCATTTTACACAGCGTGGGAAAGTTCTTTGGAATTTTCCCACACTGTGCAATTTGACTCATAACAACATGCTGATTGGTTAATTGAAAGTAACCAATCAGAGAGTTATGAGTCAAATTACACAGCTTTAATTCACTGTTTAATAGACATGCCCCTACACACGGTATAGTGAGTAGGGGCAGAGTTCACTAATACTAAGTAATCTTTACTTAGTAAATTTGTCTGAAAGACCAATTTAGGTCCTTCAGCCTTTTGGTAGATAACTCCCTAATACCATGGGAATTAGGGAGTTATCTACTAAGCGGCTGCAAGAGAAGTCCCGAAGTTCCGAATTGCTGAAGTCCCGAATTTCGGAATGCCGAACCGAACCGAAAATTTTCCCCATGCACATCCCTAGTCTCAGGTACGACATATTACTTTTCAATAGTCTATTAGTAGCAATTACTGGCTGTTAGGGATCTATGTGCCCAATCAGGGCCGGATTAAGAGCACAGTGGGCCTGGTGCTGACAATTATGATGGGCCTAATTACGGAATCTTATTGACCAAAAACACTAAAACAATCATACCTCCCAAGCGTCACGTATCTGATGGAGATGGTGCTGGAGGGACACTCATAGAATGCAGCTATAAGAAAACACATACTCTATGCTAATCCCTCTCTAATTTATGATTTCATCTTTCAAGTAAATCCATAACCCCTAACAGCAGTGTCCAGTGAAGCAGGAAATCAATGGGCGGTGTAAAAGGGTGTGCCACTGGCACGAATCACGTGAAAAGACCTGCCAAAAGGGGTGAACATGCCCAAAAAGGGGAATGTTTGTCCAAAGAATTGGAAGGTCAGCCTGGCATGAATGCATGTCAGGCTGCCTGCCAATCCTGCAGGCTGTCCAACTAAGGGCATACTATGCAGGCAGCACCTTGAGCTTGACATAAATGTGTCTAATGATGCGCTCATTCCATTCTTTCAAAGGACTGTCCCATAGCACTCGCTGGTCCACTTGTCTCCTTACCTTCTTACTAGCAGGCAGAAGTTCCTGGTATATAGTCTGAGACAGAGAAAAGATGTCTGTAGTGAGTGTAGAAGAAAGGGGACATGCCACAGTGTTAGAGAGACCAACATCTGCATTACCTAAACTAACTTTAATGTCAGCAAGTGCACACAAGTTTTGTTCCAATACATCCCTCTTAAGCTTCCAAACTTAAAGGGACACTATAGTCACCAGAACAACTACAGCTTATTGTATTTGTTCTGGTAAGTAGAATCATTTCATTCAGGCTTTTTGCAGTAAAAACTGTCTTTTCAGAGAAAATAACTCCACTGGCTGCTCCTTAGATGGCTGCTAGAGGTGCTCCCTGGGGCAGTACTGCCTAGTGTGCAGCACTGCCATTCAGTGTCTCCACCCTCTGCATGTAGACACTGAACTTTCCTCATAGAGATGCATTGATTCAATTTATCTTTATGAGGAGATACTGATTGGCCAGGGCTATGTTGGACTTGTGCTGGCTCTGCCCCTGATCTGCCTAGTTGACAGTCTCAGCCAGTCCTATGGGGAAGTATTGTAATTTGCTCAGACCACCACTTCTGAGCCAGCAGCTGCAGAATTTAATACAAGTAATATTTTACTATATTTAGGGAGGCAAGAAGGGGCCAGGGTGGTGGTTTTAACATAATAGGGTCAGAAATACATGATTGTGTTCCTGACCCTATAGTGCTTCTTTAAGCAAGAGTGTGTGAAGAGTAGTTAAGGTTGCCACCTTTCTTGGAAAAAAATAACAGCCTTAATAATTTGTATAATTAGTTATGCGTGACATCACATGATGTAAATTACAAGGAGTAACATCAGAGAAAATTCTATAAAATCACCAAACTACTCACAGTTTGATTCTGCTGTATAGATGGATTGCTCCCAGTGTCTCCCTGTCTCCCAGTGTCTCAGTCTCGCAAGTCACCCAGTGTCTGTGTCCCTATGTATCACAGTGTCAGTGTCCCTGTGTCCCCAGTCCCCTAGTCTCCCAGAGTCTGTGTCCCCATTTCTCCCACTGTCTCAGTGTGTCCCCATGTCACTAGGATACTGGGGACACTGAGAGACCCAGGGACACTGAGACATTTAGGGAAACTGGGAGAAATGGGGACACTGAGACATTAGGGACACAGACACTGTGAGACATGGGGACACTGAAACATTTGGGGACACTAAGACACTAGGGACACAGACATGGGAACACAGACACTGGGAGACTAGGGGACACTGGAGACTAGGGGACACTGGGGACAGACACTTGGGTGGACATTGTGGAC